GGGGGGGGATATATTACAATGGCACCTGGAAGTGGGGGGATATATTACAATGGCACCTGGAAGTGGGGGGATATATTACAATGGCACCTGGAAGTTGGGGGATATATTAGGCAGGAAGTGAACATTTTGTCCCTGAAGTTGATGTGTTGGAAGCAGAAACAATGGGGGAAGTGTGAGGATTTGAGGGACTTTGAAAAGGACCAAATTGTGATGTCTAGAGGACTGGGTCAGAGCAACTCCAAAACTGCAGCACTTGTGGGATGTTCCCGCTCTGCAGTGGCCAGGACCTACCAAAAGTGGTCAAAGGAAGGAAAACCAGTGAACCGGCGAAAGGGTCATGGGTGACCATGCTGACCCATGTCCACCGCCAAAAACCACCACTGTATTGAGACTTTGTTAAGGGGAACATTTAGATATGAGCACTGCTTTGCTCGCCGCCGGCATCACAGGAGCGAGCGCTGTCCCTGAGCATGCTCAGTGCATTCTCTCCACTGTCGTAGCCCGAGTTCAGCCGTGGTGACCGGAGGAGCCAGTGTTGGACGCTCGCCCCCAGCACCATTCTTGTTCAGAGTCCTGTGCATGCACAGTGTGCGCGCTTTCCTGCTGCAGTGACTGGACCAGCCCAGCCCTGTGCATACACTTGGCCTTGGACAAAGATGGCACTTGCTCCGGTGATGCTGGGAGCGAACGTCCAATGGCTGGCTTGTCCACACACCGTGGCTTTGCTTGGTCTGGAACAGGAGAGAGTACACTGTACATGCCAGGGCTGTGGCCAAGGACGACATTCGCTCCTGTGATGCTGGCGGTGAGTATCCAATGGCTGGCCTGTCCTGTCAACGCAGCTGAGCTCAGGCTGCGACATTAGAGAGAGCGCACTGGTGACCTTCCAATGGTACGCTCATCCTGGCAATAGGGTGGAACATTGCAGCATATTGGGAACTTCTCATCAGGCTTCAGTGGGGGCGCAAATGGCCGACAGGTATAGCAGACATATTCATGAAGATTTTAACAACATCTGCTTAGTTGATCGTTACCTTTTTTTTTTTTGCAAAGGTGAACTAACCCTTTAAATGGGGACATTAAATTATTTCTTCTTTAAACACAAACAAACTCACAAAAATGATCGTTAACTGCAATTTATTGCAAAACATACTCTCTCAGATTAAATTAAGCAAAGTCATTTAAATATATTTCTCAGTTGAGCACAATATTGTAGTGGATTAGGACTCACACACTAGTAATCTGCTGGTTAGACACTTAACACATAAGAACCAATCAGATTGCACGTTACTGAGGTCTCATCAGTAATAAATGCTGATTGGCTGGTATGGGCTGCAGTGTACTTTGCCTTACTAAATTAGGCCATATATGTAGAATTCTGAAACGGAAATAGAATGATCCCAGAATATGTCTTTTAAATTACTTTCTCTATTCCTAATAAAGATACATGTGATAACTTCAATTCAATGCATTGTAATAATAGCAGTGTATGGAGGCACAATGGCACATTGTAGGAGGGGGGTCAGAACAATGACATGACTTTTCAGAGTACCACAGATTGATCTTTGTAATAGAAGGGTGGGAATGCTACAAGGGTTGGATAGAGCGGGGAAGGCATTGTATTGCCATGTCGCCATTGGGGAGATTCCCGTTCACTTCCTGTTGAGTCACCAGGAAAGGGACGTAGGGAAGATCTCTCTAATGGGGACACAGGAAACAATAAAATCACTTTGCTTTTAGTAAAGTGGGAAGAGATTAGAATATCTCTTCCGTCCCATTTGGGGGATTTCCTGTGTTGCCAACAATGCAGGAAATCAGAGGGAATATCGTCAATGGATGCATAGGTGGAAATAAACAACTGACACAAGTTCTAATCCTTGACCTTTCTGTTCACAAATGCTAGGGGGGGGGGGGTTCAACTTTATAGTTATAAATCTGATCGGAAAAAATAATACATAGGTTGCCAGTGTTGACTGCCTCTTTGGGAATGCTCGTTGCCTGGCTGTCATTCAGCTCCTCTGGATGTATTACTTTCCCAGTCATTGACCCAACATGCAGCAACTGCAGCCATGATTGACCTACAAATATGTTACAGGTCATTCAGGAAGAGTATTTAAGTCCCCAATTGAACGCTCAGTTTAAATCAGGCAAATACATTTCAGGTGCATCAAAACAAAAAGGTGTTCAATGCTTTCCAGTTTGTTTTCCTTAGAGGAGCCTGTGTCCTGCCTCGGACACAGAGAGCAAGGATTCCATTCTGCAGCATACTTCTGAGAAGCAGCGGTCTCACTGCACTGGTCCGACACACCCCTTACTGAATCAATCCTAAAGCTCTGCAACCAGAAACGTTTATGCCAGCAGCTGATAAGAGGCTCTGCAGGACCACTACAGAGAGACCACTGCTTCCCCACAAGGAGCAAGGACCCTGTTGCTGTGGTGCAGCAGTGGTTTCACTGCAATGGTCAGGCAGACCCCCTACTGCATCACACCTATAGCTCTGCTATCAGCAAAACTCAGGTTTGCAGCTGATTGGAGAGCTCTGACTCAGCAGGGGGTGTGCTGGACCACTATAGAGAGAGCACTGCTTCCCCGCAAGGACCATATTGCTGTGGTGAAGCAGTGGTTTCACTGCAATGGTCAGGCAGACTCCCTAATGCATTACACCTATAGCTGTGCTATCAGCAAAACTCAGGTTTGCAGCTGATTGGAGAGCTCTGGCTCTAGAAGGGTGTCAAACCTCTGCAGATGTTCCCTGCACGGAGCACGGGTCCTTCTCTGCAGCATGCTGGCAGGGTCAAGCACTTCTACTCAGGCGGAGACCACATTTTTGTTTTGATGCACCTGGAAGGTATTCAGCTGATCCAATCGGGCTTTAAAGGCTTAGTATCTGCATGGCAGCTAGCATTCTCAGATGGAGAGGTCAGCAGGGAAGCCCATGTATTTCACTCTCATTGTTCTGACTGCCCTATAGCGATGAAAGCTGAAGTCTGATTGGTTGATGCATTGCACCACCAGTAATACCTGCAGCGAGGACCATTTTATTTCTTTGTTCTCTGGTAAGTGACTGTGCAGTGGTATACACGGAAGAAGAAAAGCGCCAAGCTGGTGGTGCCTTTGGCATGTTTAGATTCAAGTAAAGAAACAAACCTCAGAACTGTTTGCAGAGGAACGCTGCTGGTGTCAGTAAATATTACTTAATATACAGCATGTATGGTCTAAAGAGCAACTTTTGGGACAAGGCTCTACACCCCTATCAGGTCTTTAAGGGAACCTGTCATGACATGAATGCGCAAATTGCCATCACTGAAAATTCAATGTACCTGCCGTGCTGATCCTGTGGATTTAATGCTTTCTAAGGGGTCTATTTAAAGAGCAACAATATGGCCAGCCTTGTGATTTGAAAAAAAAAAAAAAAATGCTCTGCACGTGTGTAAAGCACAGCGATGTGCTCTACAAATGAGGATTGGACTCCGCTAGGTTCGGGAGTCCTAAGCTGGCGGAGTGCAATAGAAATGAATAGGGAGCTGTTTTTATAAAAAAAAGTCACATGACCACCTCCCCTCCAATCGTGCCGTTCTCTCTGCTGCCTTAAGCAAGGAGAACTCTGTAGGATACCGCACGCTGCATGGCGTGGTCTGAAATTATGGATGGGTGTGTCTAGTCATGCAGTAGCCCCGCGGCATATAACCGAGAGCGGCTGGTGATATAGTGAACCACTACGTCACTGATCCAGAACAGGTAAGTTGATCAGGACTCATATCTCTGTTGGCGCTATATAAATCCTGTATAATAATAATAATAATAATAACAACTCACAGGTTGAGCACTAGTTTTGGGTGATGCCCTCTGAAAGCACTGAAGCCAAGGCATTGGTATTGGCATGAACGCCAGGCAATTTTCAGAAAGATATCAGCGATAGCAACCTATTTCATTTTCTCACAACAGGTTCCCATCCACTGCTGGCCCCAGGATTCCCTTCTTCCACCCCACCCATGGCATGCGCTGGACTCCCTGCTGTCTCTGGCCTCCAGATTCCCAATACATTCCTATGAAACAGACAACAGAGGGTGAAGGATTCTGGGTAAAGTTGCTCTTCTCGAACCAAAATAATAACATTATGTGCGTATAGATATGAAATCAACATAATAGTAATAATTAAGAAAAAAATAAAACTACCCCGGACTTTCCTTTCAACAGATACTGTATAACAACCTGGGGCTTATTTTGGCGCATCCATCAAATCCCCCCACAGCGCCAGGAAGAAGTGCAAAGCAAAATTGAACAAATCAGCCATGCACATGAATCGAATTTCACACATTCACAATATTCTTTGCTCTGGTCTAGCAAGTCGTCATTTTTTTCTTTTTTAGCTTTGATAAAATTAGGAAAACATTCTTTTTTTTTTTTTTTTTAAAATGCCAAAACAAAAATAAAATGAAATGTGAATTTGCTAGACAGGACAAAGTTACAGATTTAGAGATTAAAGTGCCCTCTGCTGCGAGACAATCAGAGAGTGACCCAGAGGTAACATTTGCACTGAGAAGAAGCTGGATTCAGTCTTTGGGCACCTTGAAATTATCTTTCTCTTTGCGGATCGATGCCATCGTAGAGATGGGGTCACTCTCCCCTGCGTGGTCCTGCACGGACTTCTCCCTGTCGGTGCAAATGCAGACAATCCGGTTAAAGGGAAAGTGGAGCTATTTCAATTCAATAATTCAATTACATTTTATGAAGGGGTATCAAAAAGTAACACCTGTTGTTTCATATCTGCTGCTCATGTGAATTTATCATAAAATGCCTGAAATATGTACCACACATGGCTTGAAAAATCTCTCGTCTGTGACGAGAGGACGCAGGAGCCCGACGAGTAGCTTCCCGGCCGACCGCTGTAATGAAACGGCCAGCCGGGAGCTTTACATTCTAGAGACGCCCAATTGCTTGTAGTAGCAGTAGCTGTCACTGCCGTTGCCGGTCCCGAGATCCGCTGTGCCCGGTGTGACTGGGACCGGCACGGCTCTGTAACAGGAGATCCAAGGGAGTTCAGTATACGAACTCCCTCTGATATCCTCTCCAGTCCCCGAATGCAGGAAGTGTTGTATATTACATCACTTCCACATTCTGCTGTAACTCACCAGCTTCAGAAGCTGGTGAAGTAGATCTCTGCATCATCAGCTTCTCTGGGGATCCCTAGGTGACAATAGGGGTCTTGGAGACCCCTGATGTCTCCATAAAGAGGACCTGTCATGTAAATTGGCTATCAAATAGGGAGCTTCTTAGCCCCCTATGTGATAGCAATAAAGTTAAGTGTAAAAAAAAAAAAAAAAAAATTAAAGAAGCATAAAAAAAACACTAAATTGTTTTTAAAGTCCCCTGCTCCCACATACACACGCAAACATGCGTCTGGTGCGCCTAAAAACGACGTTTCCGTCTATTGTGCCACACATGTTACATATCACCGCGAACGTCGGAGTGCGAGCAATAATTTCAGGGCCATTAATCACTGATAACACTAAACTGATGAGCAGTAAAAGCGTTTAAAGCATCACCCATGGCCAATTTTCAGGTGTGGTCGTTTTTTGCAATTTTGCGGGCGCGCACAATTTTAAGGCTTCACATGTTTGATGTCTATTTACCCGACGTGACCCCGACTTTTATATTTTACCAAAAATATGGGTAAGAATAAATGTTTTTTAACATAACACAGGGAAAACTTTTTTTTACTCTTGAAATTTACGGTACTTTTTTCATTATATAGTAAAAAATAAAATAATCTTTTGGTAATTAAATACCTTCAAAAGAAGGCTCTATGTGTCCCTAAAAAAATGTTAACAGAAATTGCAAGGCTATAGTCCGGTCATGCTGACTGGTGAGACACCCTAAAATTTTTCAAGCCCTGGTCATACATATGGTCTAACTCAATCATTGTGCTTCTGTTTTCATGTGAAATGTGGATGAGAGGTTGAAACAAAGAGCAGTATTCGAGTTTCTGACTAAAGAGGGTTGTTCGGCTGGTAAGATCCACACAGGCTTGAAGAACGTGTATGGTGATGCAAGTAAGTACTTTAGCAACGTTGGGTAAAGAAGTTTAAACAGGGAGAAACTGAAATAGGTGACAAGACATTGAATGGTGCTATTAAAGCTCTCCTCATCCAAAGAAATTCAAATTTGCCAGATCAGCACAAATCTGCCGGATCATGGTGTTCTAGGATGACCATGGCATCATTCTCATGGACCTTTTTGGATAAAGGCGCAACAATCAACAGTGAAGCCTACATTGATACTCGTCAAAACCTGAAGGAGACCATCAGGAAGAAAAGACTATTGAAAGACATTCCTCTTATGCCACCAGTGAGGTAATTGCCAAAATGGGCTGGTCACTGGTCCCTCATCCACCCTACGGCCCAGATTTGGCACCATATGACGTCTACCTGCTTTGGCTAATGAAGGATGTAGACTGCATTCTATCTGGCAAGATGCAGGCTGAAAATGTTCAGCCTATTAGATCCTCCATCTTTCATTGGCCCAAACTGGTAGAACTCAGATGGTGCCAAATCTGGACCGTAGTGTGGATGAGGGACCACTGACCAGCTCATTTTGGCAAGCACCTGACAATTTTGGTGCTGTCAGGGCTCTCCCATAGCTCAACTTTCAAATGATTCAGCAGGAATCTGCAAACACTTGAACCGCATAGGGCTAGCACATGGCAGAGGCACATTGCTTGGTTCAACAAGCCCTTTTAGTTGCCATGAATTAATCTAAATAAAGTGAACAGGGTCACCGATAAATTAGTCAAAAAAGAACTGCACACCCTAATCATAACATAGGTCAAAGAGCATTATATGGTTACTACAGCAATAACCCAAGACTTCCTCAGAAAGTCTCACAATAATTAGGCAACTGTCTAGACATTATCCCCATTCACATTCGTTATGCATGAACACACTTGGCCCTTTTGCCCGTTTTGGCACATTTTTTCACACGTCCACATAGGCCAGCCAAATTAACTTAAATAGACTGCCCTATATGCGACAAACATGGCAAAGAAGCTCATGCAGCTGCTTGACTTGCAAGCTTTATGCATCCTATTAGGTGCAGTCACTATTCATGTTTTTAGGCAGCCGCATTGGGCCAACATGGGAGATTCCTCCATCCCGGCTGTTCAACATGGAAGGGGGAATCAAGTAATTTTCTCTTTTTCAGGATGTGGGTTGAACGAGGAGAATCTAAAACGTGTATGTCCAGCTTTATTATAGGTATGCTGGAAGAACTCACCTGACCCTCATAAACGGATTAAATGTGAATTCTTCTGCCAGTGTGGACGGTATGGTGGGCTCCCCATCATTGTACGTTTCCTGAAAAGGTGAAACAAAGAGCTCAGCATCAAACTAGAGAAGGACAAATCAAAGGAGTATTCCTCACGTCACCTTTCAACATCTCGTGGAGTCACGGGGCCGCCCAACGAAGTACTGATGGGGTGGTCATAATAATCTGGCCACCCAGTGTATATATACACATACATACACACACATACCTGACGGCTAAAACTCACTGACACATTATAGGACATACAGTACAATATTATTTTAACATAGCAAAGTGTTGGATTGATGACATCATACATACCTGCTGCAGCCTCATGTTATGACCCAATACTGGGTCGCTCTTACAGACAAATCTTAATTTCCTGACAGGGCTGAAGAGCGGAGTGACACATAAGAGATGAGCTTACCAGTGTGCTAGCTACTGGTGAAGCACTGGACTCAAAGATGCATGTGATCTCCAGTCTCTCTCCCTGCTCCCCATCATCCAAAAACCTGAGGAAAGGGGGGGTTATGTACTCCTAAAATTATAGTACATACACAGGACCAACTATATCTGTGTGGCCCTTTCATCCCTTTTTCTGTCCAGTCACAAGCTGGGGAAGGGACTAGTCTTGTGTGTATACTGAGCTACGGCATAGAAAGAATAGGTCTTCTTCCCTGCCAGACAGGGCTGTGCTGTGTGGAAGGGCTGTGTAAATCTCTGCCACACAGCAAATTCCCGGAGATATTACCTACAGTAAGTGCACAAAGCTAATTCCATGGCATACAGTAATCAAAACGGGGAACAGCAAGTAAGTAAAAGTTCAAAACAAATGTCAGTTAAAAATAAAAAAAACCTTACAATGTATTTACACACACACACACACACACACACACACACACACTTGTTTCCCTATAAGCCCTTGTGCCTAGAAAGTCGAGGAAGTGATCTTTGCCCGGTCCTCTTCTATTATTAGGAAATACAAACTTTAAAAAAAAAAAACAACAACATCTACAAATGACCTACCTTAGCCCAAGATAACTTTTGTTTGATCTGTTCATTGTTGGGTTCTACGTGACGTGCAAACTTCAAATTGTTGATCGTATATTCATGTCCACAGTACACTCTCTGTAAGAGAAATACAAATTAAATATCTGATATTTTAATTTTGGGTCCAGTGCTACAGCAAACATCCAGGCAGATGTAATATATATATCTATATATAGATATATATATATATATACACACAGTTTAATCCAGTTTTATATTCAAAAATAATTTTATTGAGACCCACGGCCGGCCCATACATGCACGGCTGTATCGGGCCGCTCCCGGGAAGGACAGGTGCTGCGTGTGATTGTACGCAGCAGCCTGTTTTTCTCTATGGGAGGACGCGGCTGTATGCCGCCCTAGGCTCACTTGAACTGCACGTCCATGCGGGTGTCCCTGCTCGGACGCAGACAGGATCCATCCTGTCAGCGTACGAGTACGGACACCGGTACGGCCCGATACGGCCATGCACACAGCACGGATCTGTACGGGCCAGCGGTTGCTCATGTGAATAAGGGCTTACTCCAAACAGAAAACAAAGTTTTGGCTTTAGATCTACTTTTTTATTACAGGCCTTTATATAACACCATCAATATACACAGCATCTTACATACTATTCATTCAGATCAGTCTCTGCCCTCAAGGGCCTTACAAGCTAAGGTCTCTTTCGCATATGCATACATTGTATGACCATTTAGGGCTGTTTAGACAGGAGCCAATTAACATTCCAGCATGTCTTTGGAGTACCCGCATGAAGCACACACAAACACAGGGAGAACATGCAAACTCCATGCAGATTGCGTCCCGGTCAGGATTCGAACTGAGGGCCCGCAGTGCTGCAAGGCAGAAGTGGTAACTGCTTTACATAAGAGATTCCCAATCATTACAACCTCATAATATGCATCTGCCATTGCATTTGACTAGAATTATCTGCTGGAGAGTTAAACCACCTAATATAGAGCCAGAACTATGAGTGGTGTCACACTGTTGTGAATCTGTATTATATTCCCATGGAGATGGACTGTACTGGCACCTGGATGTGCCAAAGCAGACAAATGGACATCACTATAAGTTAGACCGACTACCCCTCCTGACATACAGGTGCTGGGCGTTAAAGAGTTCACCGACAATCCCGGTCCGTTCCACTGAACAGAAATAATACAGTCACACTCCAATACTCAGAGACCCCCCTCCAGGATTTTAATTCTCTGATTCATTTCCCCCAACCAATGGGCTTTGTCATAGATCATTAAACCCACTGGTTGGGCAAAAATGTGTCAGCATCAGGGGATGTGGATCCTGGAGGGGTCTCTGCACTGTTTGGTACAATAAAGTTTATTTAACATCTAATTATTGAAGTGCGGCTGTATTGTTTCTTTCGGTGGCACCAGTATATGGCAGAGAACTGTGAGCCATAACTTACCAGGAGCTGTATGAGTGTGTATAGAGACAGAACTTGCAGACTACAAAGTGCAACTGACTCTACTCTATGAATGAAATGTCACTTCTGGATGGACAGACCCTTTAAAAAGCACCTGTTCTCATTACCAGATGTAACAGAATGACCATATCAGTGCATATCAGACAACATAAGGTGTTTGATCATAGCTTCCTAACAACAAAAATCACTAATGTTGCTCACAGAATATCATATTACAATAACGACTTTCTTAAAGGAAAACTATGGGGTCAGGGCTTTTCCCCATAGTTCTCCTTAGGGTAACGGGAGGACACAAACTAGCGTCCTCCCGTCACCCAGAGCTCAGTATACCACAAGCTACAGCTCGCGTTATACTGAGACGCCGCAGCTGAAACGGATCCCAAAAATGATGCCGGGATCCGTCCAGCTGCGTGAGTGACAGCTGGCTCTGCCTATCTAGAGGCAGAGCCAGCTGTACCCGCCCCCTCCCCCGTCTGATCCGCCAGACAGCGCTGGCGGATCGGAGCGGGGAGTTGGGAATCCAGTCCCTACCCTGTCACGGCAGAGAGCCGTGACAGGATCGAGAGGTGAGCGAACGCCGGTATGTGTTCGCTCACCTCCTGATCTACTGAGCCGACCTGTGACAGTCTCATTGTCACAGGTCGGCTAGAACTAGAAGGTGAGTGAAAAGCGCTCCTCACCTCATAGTTCTCCTTTAAGGTTCTTATTTGCATAGGTTTAGGCACATGATAGTGCAAGGCCCTGGTAATAGGCCACACAGGCACTGTGTACTGCATTGAGGGCCACATGGTGCCGTTTGCCCCAACACAGAAGTCTAGGTATATGGAGAGGCTGTGGTGGTCCTGCCAGGCAGTTCTTTTGCTAGAGTGGCACATTCAGGCACCTTATGGTGTCTATTACACAGCACAATGGTCACTGTATTATGTTATGGAATGATACAGGTTCACTTTAACCATGATAAATGTCCCAATGAAAGTAAATAGTAAGCCTCATGACATTACGGTCTCTGGTGGAAGACTGCCCAGTATCTCTATCAAAGCTTTGTACATTTCTTCCGCCGTCCCCTCAAAAAACTTGCCACAGCCGGCCACAAAGAGGGTGTCACCTGCGAAAGAGAAGACACAAGTCTGTAACCACATGACCTCATTATACAGAAACTGGATGTCCCATGCAGGCTATATCAGAGGTGCTGAATGGTACCAGTCCAATATTATGTCCCATATTTTAAAGTCTGGCATCACCTGAACCAGATACGCTCATCAGTGGTGCTATCAACATTTACTGAATGTTCTATGGGAGCTTTAAATATTTGCTCTATGGACACACGATGCTGCAAGCATGGCTTAAAGCGAACCTGTATTTTGCCCATACTGGGCAAAGCAACAGGTCCTCTTTAATGGCAGCCCCACCAACAGCACACACCGATTTTCCCTTTGCTCCCTATCACTCCGTTCTGCTGTTAAAAAGAGGTACCGACTCCCCTTCCTCCCACGTGACACCACCAGTGCTTGGTGATTGGATGCTCAATGTCATGGAGCTCATATAGGGTCAATGATGTGATTGCACCCCTCCCCTTTGCTTACCTGCAGGTGACTGGGTGGCAGAGGAAGAAGCTTCCTTCCATGTTTGGCGTAGCTCCTTACGTTTTCAGAAGAACTCAAGTTCAGACCAGGTTCGGGTATAGCCCGAGCTCATCCCTACTCGTCTATATCAAAATAAGGAATCATCGGGGAAGAGATGGGGGTTGGAGTCAAGGGGGAGTCTTTCACCCTAGGCAAGTTGCTAAATTTCCTACGGCCCCATTCTACCTTAATCTGTCATTGCCTCCCCTGCTACTGTCATTGCCTTTGATGGGTGGTCCCACTGATGGATGGTGGAGTATCAATTTTATTAATACATATATAAGGGATTGACCCAAAGGCAACTGGGATACGTCAATTTCCAAAGTTTCCCACAGCTGAGTGGCTGCCATGAACCAAGATGGAGACTCACCTGTGAACACTGCTGGTGGTTCAGAGCTGTTGGGCTTTGTCACATAGTAGCAGATATGTCCTGAGGTGTGACATGGCGTGTAGAGACACTTCACATGAAGGGACCCAACCTAAAACATGATAGAATTTTTTTTTTACATTTAACACAATAACAACCAATTACAGTTTTTTTTGTTTTTTTTTAAATGGTTCTGATCTACAAAGCCCAATGGTTTGGTGCTCTGTTAAATGAAAAACACAAAATGATATAAATAATTTAATTACAAATATATTTTGTCAGAACCACCAGGACCTTCAAAAAGTTGGAACTTGTGCTTCCTCATGTGACAGCAGTTGGGTCTGGTTATTGGCCGCTTCAACTGTTATATTGAGGAGGATGGGGGAAATGTCACATGCTCTCCCTAACTTGGAAGTACCTGCAGATTTCTCAGGGCTCTGGCAGTAGATTTGGGTGGTAGGGGAACATGGGGAAGGAAAGTACAGGGTGCTTATTGTGACTCCTATAAAGCTTTTACTTTTCTCACATTCTAGCTGAACAAGGTATACATTAGATGGCAAATAATTTAAGGACACATGACCATAAGTATGTGGATACCCCTGTAAGTTATTGAGTTTAGGGGTTTCCAGAGAACATCAAACAAAGACATTTTACAAAAATGCGCCCTTCCAACCTTTGAGGTAACAGTTTGGTGAAGGCCCTTTTCTGTTCCAGCATGACCTGGAGACCAGCAGACATGGCTTGATGAGTTTAGTATGGAGGGACTGGAGTATCTTGCACAGAGCCCTGACCTCAGCCCTCCTGAACACCTTTGGATGAATTTCTAATTCTGACTGCAAACCAGGTCTTCTCATCCAAAATCAATACCCCACCCCATAAATGCTTTACTGGCTATGTGGGCACAATGGCTTTGGAATGGGATGTTCAACAAGCTTATTTAGGTTTGATGGTCAGGTGACCACAAATGTTTGGCCATATAGTACAGCATTGATAACATTTAGAACCATGGTCTCCCCTAAACCAGAGGAAATACAAAATTATCATGCCAGATTAGAGGGCATTCCCTTCAAGCCAACAGTTTTCAAGGGAGGAGTCAGGCTACCACAGGGTGTTTGATATTCATTTCCTTCAATGTATAGGCGACTTACCTGAAATGTGGTTAGATGGGAAACTCTCTGAGTTAAAGCTCCAACCCTCCTGTCTCCACCATACACAGTCAGCCCTGATACCATTTTCACAAGTTTCTCATTGCCTCCTGCATGGTCCCTGGAGAAAAAAAATATCCTTCTTTAAACAGAAGATATTTACATGTCACAAACCCAATCTTAAAGTAGAACTATGGCCTACCATTAAAACATGTGCTGCAGCAGTTAATTTTAAGTGCAGAATACTTCCAGTTTTCTCTTAGCTTCCCTGCAAAGTCCTTCAAATACCTGTTGATCCCGCCAAGAAATTCCACTTAACACAGCTTCCTGTATAGTGTGGTTAACAATGCTGCACTGCTCCTGTATCCAGAGCAGAGTTGCCACTCTCATGTACGCAGTGCCTTGAACCACAGTGGCATTGGAAGACATTGCAGGGGGTGTGGCTGTCAGCATTGTCACTGCTGATTTACAGCCTACAACTTCTCATTCAGCATTTGGCTACAGCTAGTGCCACCCACTGCTTTCTGCATTGACAGTACTGGCTCTGTTGCTGAAACCCTCCCACTGTGAGCTGCAGGCTTGTGCGTTACATAGTAACTAGATTTGGTCATTTAGGAGCCTTTAATTTGTTCTTTAAAGTGAACCTGTCATCCATTTTAAGATTTTTGAAAGTAACAGTCCTGCCTAAGATGCTTATTTTGCCACATGTGAACCAGAAAAACTCCTCTGTGTGCCTTTCAGAAATTAGTTTCCCTGACTTCAGTGCCAAGCTTTGCCCTCACCCATGGCTAAGCACAGGCACTTTAAAGAGACGTTGTTAACTTGCCCATACAGGGCACAGTCACAATGTCTGCTTATACCCACCCTCCCAGCAAGTTATACCTAACCTACCAGGCCCCACGTCCCTGCTTCGTGGAGGCACTCACTCTAGTGGGGCTTCTGGATATATAGAGGAACATGTGACCTCCTTACTGTGACAGTGCATGGTCCTGAGCAGCCAATTGCCAGGTCTGAACATTGTCATATGAGAAGGGGCAGTAACTTCATCCACATAGGCAAGCCCCGACATCAGAGCTTACCCAGGGTGGACTCCTACAGTGGAAGGTGGGGAGGGAGTATGAACCCTAAAAGTATACCTTGTTAGGAAGGTGGCCTATCAGCAGACACAGTCATGCTGTCCTAAAAGGGGCAAATTGACAGGGGCAATACAACAATCAAAGGGTCAGGCCCAATGCTTCTTTTTAACCACCTACAAATGTAGGGTGTGTAATAGGTAAGAAAATGCTTTTCAAAAGAGCTAAAATATCTAGCATCAAACTATTTGGCTCTGGGGGGAGGTATCGCAAATATATTCACAAGTTATATATATTTAATGACGTTTTTAACTTTGAGTTTCACCTTAGTATGGAACTCCAGCCAGAATATTTTGCCTAGTTTTTGATAGAGTTGGGAAAGGTTAGAAGATTAGGTTTTTACTGATGTTTGTGGTCTCTTAGGGGACGCTGCCACTCACTTGTGTTGGAGGTATGACAGGAAGTGAGATGAGATCTACCAAAAGTTTGGGGAAGTTCCACCTTTGATGGTTGAAACAAGAACAGGTGTCCTCATTGGGAGATTTCCCTTCACTTCCTGTCCTGTGATAGCAGTAACTAGAAAGGGAACGAGGGGAAATCTCCCATTACATAGCAATTAGTGATGGGCTCGGGCATGTTCCCAAGCGCCTCGTGCCAAGCCTGCCAGGAAGCTATCAGCGCGCAGGGCCAATCACAGGCACTGAGACATTTCCTGATCTCTGCAGCTGCGGACCGGGAACATGTCTCAGTGCCTGTGATTGGCCCTGCGTGCTGACGGCTTCCTGGCAGGCTTGGCACGAGGCGCTTGGGAACACGCCCGAGCCCATCATTAATAGCAATACAAAACCTTCCAGATGTTCTGTCGGTTTCCAACTCTGTCCAAAATTAGGAGAATAAAGTTTTGGCTGGAATTCTTCGGTAATGATCACAGTTTTTGTTTTATCCAGCTGTATTTACAACTTATAACATCCAAGTAAAAGATATAACACTGGCATGTCAGAAAAAAAATAAAAAACAGAATCACAGAGTTGGGGAAAAGGATCACACCCTCCATAAATGCATCATAATATCGACCTGTACTTCTTTTCCTTTGAAAATCTATACTGCAATTGAAATAATAACACAAGTCAGATAAGGATGTGCTTATGGGAAACACAAAATGCGTTCCTTTGTTCCTACCTTGAACAGCAAGACATTTTGGTGCTCATCTTTAATTGTGTGAAGGATTGGGGCTGTGTTGCCCTTTCATTCTCATGCCAAGCTGATTATTTATATCTGGCATGGACGCTTTGGTTATAAACAGCTCTTTTTTTCTCCAGGCATTTTCATAAATAACTTGTATAGAGTGAAAGGATGAGAACGCCACCTCCATACAAGCTGATTCTCAATGGGACAAAACTAGAGCGGCTAAACTATAGCAATCGTATGATTTATTTGTGTGGGGTCTAGACTTCGACCACCACCAGATTCCAGAATGTCCGCACAAAGTCTAAATGGTCGGGTGCTGGCAGGAAGCAAAGTATCCCCTTCCGTTTTCAGTGTTACAGAAACCACTGCAAAATGTGAACCTATCAGTACAAAATCAGGGAGCAAAAAACTTTGCTCCAGTCTGTCCTCAGCAGCCTAGTTATTCCAACAATTTGGGCAGCCATTTTGCCTCTTACACAGTGCAGAGAAGATCAATCCAGGCTGTCAACTGGCTAAAGTCAGGCATCTCTACCCAGGGCCCTCCCCATAATGAGGAAGCCAGAGGCTGTTGCCTCAGATGACATCTCTTTGGGTCTCGTGGAGGCCTTTCCAGCAAAAGCAACTCAAGTTGCCATACACATCTCCCCTCCCAGCAATTAGCAACCTGGGACGCTATGCCTGGTGCCCCGCTCAGCTCCTGGCAACCATTGATATCACTGGTTGCCAGGAGCTGATTTTTCTGTGACAGAAATGTGGCACTGCTCTCTGCATGTCAATGGCCAGGGGAGTGGTAAGAGATGGAGGTAAGGGTTTAGCTGTTGACATTTGGCAAAAAGTCAAAATACCCATACCAGTAACCGTGTTGTATAATCTGCACTTTTTTGGGGAAACAAAGTTTGTTTCAAATAACTAATGGTGAAGGCATAACTATGTGTACATTCTTTGGGTATAAAAAGGTTCACTTGACATAAAACTGATACCAGCCCAGTAGAATAAAGTACCTTCTGCGGCTGTACAGGATCCACAATGGCGGCTTCCTTAGTCTCCTCGTCAATCAGGAGGTACATGTAGTTGTCCGTCAAGGCAGGAAGCAGCTCGATCTTCATGTTGCGCTGAGCGACCAGTTTAGATTTTCGAAAGTCAGACTCTTGTTGTTGGAAATTTAAAGTGCTAGTCCCCAAATAGGCAGAGCCTGACAACAGAAACAGAACTTAGAATGGGAACCATTCCATAAGCCATGTGCTTATATGGATGGCAGTACAGTGGTTAGGAATGATGCCTTGCAATACCAAGGTGCTGGATCCACCAAAGCTCTTCCTGGGCTAGATCTGACTAGAAGCTTCAAGAAGCCAACTATTCTTTCTTTACTTCAAATTCAGCAAATGCATCACGAGTAATGAAATGTAACCCAAATAACTTGTTATCTTAGTTATCAAGCACTTGTTTTTCTACTATACATTACAAGAGGAAATGCCAAGTCATGGTGACGGATCTTCTTCACCAGCTCCAGCCCTCATTCCTCCTGCCACTGCTACTCCCCAACAGCCTCGTACACCAACACATTTATTTATATTGGCCGTACACAACCACACATCTATCCTGCGGCTTATTACCTCCACATGCAAAGTTATGTATCCAACAACAACCTGTGACACCTATCCTTTTACCAGACTAGTGCCATCAAGAATATTAAGGAGGGTATGGTGATGGATAATGGTCTATGAGCTTTGTAAGGATTTACAAGATACAGAGCTAGGGCAGAAGAGACTCAAAGCAGAGGAAAAGGGGAGAAGGGAAAAAGAGGAGAAAAGGGGAAACAAGAGAGAGAGGGAAGGGGAAGAGAGAGAGAGAAGGAAGAGAGAGAGGGAAAAGGAAGAGAGAGAGAGAGAGAGAGGGAAAAGGAAGAGAGAGAGAGAGGGAAAAGGAAGAGAGAGAGAGAGAGAGAGGGAAAAGGAAGAGAGAGAGAGAGAGGGAAAAGGAAGAGAGAGAGAGAGGGAAAAGGAAGAGAGAGAGAGAGGGAAAAGGAAGAGAGAGAGAGAGAGGGAAAAGGAAGAGAGAGGGAGAAGGAAGAGAGAGAGAGAGAGAGAGGGAAAAGGAAGAGAGAGAGAGAGAGAGAGAGAGAAGGAAAAAGGAAGAGAGAGAGAGAGAGAAGGAAAAAGGAAGATTGTAGAGTTGCCGTTAATTAGTTCTCCAATGTATATGAAAGGAGAGAAAGAGAGAGAGAGAGAAAAAAAAGAGAAAGAGAGAGAAAAAGAAGAGAGAGAGAGAGAGAGAGAGAGAGAGAGAGAGAGAGAGAAGGAAAAGGAAGAGAGAGAGAGAGAGAGAGAAGGAAAAGGAAGAGAGCGAGAGAGAGAGAGAAGGAAGAGAGCGAGAGAGAGAGAAGGAAAAGGAAAAGAGAGAGAAGGAAAAGGAAGAGAGAAGGAAACTGGTGAGAGAGGGAGGGAGAGAGAGAGAGAGGGAAAAGGAAAGAGAGAGAGAGGGAAAAGGAAAGAGAGAGAAAAGGGAAAGAGAGAGAGAGAGAGGGAAGAGGGAGAGAGTGTGTGTGTGTGTGTGTGTAAGAGAGAGAGAGAGAGAGACAGAGAGAGAGAGAGAGAGACAGAGAGAGAGAGAGACACAGAGAGAGAGAGAGAGACAGAGAGAGAGAGAGAGAGAGAGAGGGAAAGAGAGCAAGAAGGAAAGGGAAAAGAGAGAAGGAAAAGGGAAAAGAGAGAAGGAAAGGGAAAAGAGTTAAGGAAAGGGAAAAGAGAGAAGGAAAGGGAAAAGAGAGAAGGAAAGGGAAAAGAGAGAAGGAAAGGGAAAAGAGAGTAGGAAAGGGAAAATAGAGTAGGAAAGGGAAAAGAGAGAAGGAAAACGGGAAAAGAGAGAAGGAAAAAGGGAAAAGAGAGAAGGATAGAGAGACAGAGAGAGAGAGAGAGAGAGAGAGGGAAAGAGAGCAAGAAGGAAAGGGAAAAGAGAGAAGGAAAAGGGAAAAGAGAGAAGGAAAGGGAAAAGAGTTAAGGAAAGGGAAAAGAGAGAAGGAAAGGGAAAAGAGAGAAGGAAAGGGAAAAGAGAGAAGGAAAGGGAAAAGAGAGTAGGAAAGGGAAAATAGAGTAGGAAAGGGAAAAGAGAGAAGGAAAACGGGAAAAGAGAGAAGGAAAAAGGGAAAAGAGAGAAGGAAAAAGGGAAAAGAGAGAAGGAAAAAGGGAAAAGAGAGAAGGGAAAGAAGAGAGAGTGACTGGGAGAGAACCGGAGGACAGAAAGGGGGTAAAAAGAGGAAGAGGAAGGAATGAGAAAAAGATGGGAAGTGGACAGAAAGAAGGAAAACAAGACATTGACCAAATAGGAAAATGCAAATTTGTGTTTACAGGCAAATGAAAAGAAAGTGAATGTGTGCGAGGGACATTACAGCAGGTGACACATGTAAAGGTATTTCCCTTCCCTATGTGGCCTTAACCAAACATAAATAACATTATGCTTAATGCGTTGTGGTAAAGAGATTATCATCCACGTGTATGCGTGTGTAGCGCAAAAGCTCTAGCACCTATGAAAAACATTTGACACATACAGGGCTATTCACAAAAGGGTGAAGAGTTTGGAGAAGGCCGGAGAAGTGAACAATCTAGGACAACATAGCTGAGCTGGAAAGTGAGCTGAATTGGAGATATTTTCCAGTTCAGCTATGTTGTTCTAGATTGTTCCCTTCTTCTGCCTTCTCCAAACTCTTCACTCTTTTGTGAATAACCCAGATAATGTACATGACTAAACGTTTATAGACATTTGACCATCACACCTACTATATGACCAAAAATATGTGGACACCCCCGCCGTTATACAGTTCAGGTGTTTGAAAGGGAAGGGAACTGTTTATGCTTCAACATATAAAGACATTTTGGACAATTGTGGACTTCTGACCATATGGGGACAGTTTGGTGAAGGCCCTTTTTTTGGCTGAATGACCATACATTTACACAGTCACAATCCAAAACCTTGTGGAAATCCTTCTCAGAAAAGTGAAGGTTGTTATAGTTTCAAGGGGAAGGGGGGCAACTCCATATTAATGCCCATAGTTTTGCAATGAGATGTCCTACAAGCTCATATAGGTGTGATGGTCAGGTGTCCATAAACGTCTGGCCATTATATCTGCTGCAATGTGAAATCCTTGTCCTCGCTGTAGGGAAAAATACAGTGTGCATAAGCCATGAATGATTATCTTTGTGAAGCAACAATCACCCAAAATGCCTTCTGGGGAATATTCAAAGCCTGGTGTCAGATATCCAGTTTATCATTAACGTCTACAGACAAACATTGGGTAAATGTCTCATTAATAATCATCAAACTCGGTATAACTACGTCAACTTGCACCGCTCACAGATATTAAAGTAAACTTCTACACATCTGAACATAAAATGTATATTTGCCATCATAGGGAGCATAAAAGTCATCTTACACATATATGAAGTTCTTTCTGAAGATCCTTTTTATCCTGAGGGCTGCCAGGCTTTCCCTGTCCATGACAGGCTATGGACATCTTAAAGAGACCCTGTCGCCAGACGACCATTGATATCACCAACAATCTTCCAGAAGATGATGTGTGTGTTTAATGCATTTTTTGCATGTTATTTACTTGTAAAAGCCTCCCTTGTGTAGACATCTAAATGTCCTCAGACTGCTTCTGGGCGACGCCCTCTTGGATGTGATGTCAGCAGTCCCAGCAGACTCAGAACTGTCACTCAAGTAACACTCTAGATCAGACCTGTTCATTTTACTGCCCCGGACCGTATCCGGCTTAGTCTGCTGCTGTCCGGCCTGCCGACCTGGGCTCTGTTATAGCTGGCTGACAGTGGGTGCAATGGCCTCCAGCACCGGTGCATCCACCGAAGCTGTAGCCCACCCTAGGTCGGTGATCAGGCAGTCCTAGCAACCAATGATGGCAGGGTCCTTCTCTGCAGTCATTGGTTGCTAGGGCTGCCGGGCGTTCCTAGCAGCCAATGATGTCAAGGGTCCTCTTCTATCCCGTCTCCTGCAGCTCCTGTAGCCCAATTTTAAAAAAACAAATTGGATAGATTAGTGTATGAATATATTCTTTGGGTACCTAAAACATCCATAAGCATTTTAGAGCAGGAAGAGTTAAAACCTCTTATTTTTGCTCCTTGTGCCACTTTTGGGAGATGTCCTTGCACTTCCTGTCCCAGAAATGCAACAGGAAGTGAGAGAAAATCTCCACAAAGTGAGGGGAATACTCCTCATAGACAGCGTGTCCAATTTGGATGATTCCCACTCACCTCTTGTTCTGGAGAGAACTCTAAAATTTTTGGATTTTCCTCGCTTTCTGTTCCAGAGACAATGATCACCAGTAGAGATGCGCCGATACTGTTTTTTTTGGTATAGAGTAAGAGTACTGATATTTTTTTTCCGGTACTCGCCGATACCAAATACCGAAAGTCCCATTAAGGAAGCCAGGTGGCGTGTAATGACTCGCCAGCTGGCTTCCCGATTTGCAGGGAAGCCGTCTCCATGCTCTCTCGTCAGCTGGTGACGAGGGAGCATGGAGCCGGCCTTTTGGGCCATTCAGAAACCCAGGTGCCGTGTAATGACCCGTTGCCCGGCTGCCTGATTAGTCGAGAAGCTGGCTCCATGCTCCCTCGTCATTAGGTGACGAGGGAGCATGAAGCCGGCTTTCTGGCCAATCAGAAAGCCGGGGGGCGTGTAATGACTCACTGCCGGCTTCCTGATACTGGAGGTATCGGAGGCATCGGAGAATTTGGGTGAGTAAGAGTACTCGCCCAAATGCTTGGTATCGGCATTGGTACATCCCTAGTCACCAGGACAAGCAGAGAGGGTAAATATACCCAGCGGGGACACAGGCAGTAATAAAAACCTGTTAGGGATTCTAATCCTTCACCATCTAATTCATGTTCTGTATTTGGCTTCTTTTAGCACAGCTGAAAAAAAATCATGCTACTGAAATGACAAGGAGACCAGAGCGCCCCCTGCTGGCTGGATAGAAGACCAAGATCATTGCCGCAACATTAACAGGTGGAGCCAACAGTGTGGGACCAGTGGAGCTTCTACCAACTACCTTTTTTATCTGTCTGTAAGGGGGGGGCATCCTGCTAAACTTCATTGTAAGGGCCATTCTTCCTACTGACCATCAACATAACGGGACCACCAATATAAGGGAGCGATTACAATGATTACCAACGTAAGGGGGGCGCTTTTCTACTGACCACCGATGTTAAGAGGCATTCACACCAACTACCAATGTAAAGAGGTACTTTTCCCCTGACCATCAAGATAAGGGGGGGGGGATTTCTTCACTAACCACAAGATGCAAGAGGAAACTTCCCCACCGACCACCAATGTAAGGGGGCTCTCCTCCACTGTCCATTAACATGAGGAGTCCCTTCACCGCCGACCGCCAACGTAAGGGGGCCCTTCACCACCAACGTAAGGGGGCCCTTCACCGCCAACGTAAGGGGGCCCTTTACTGCCGACTGCCAGCGTAAGGGGCCCTTCACCGCTGACCACCAACATAAGGGGGCACTTCACCACTCACCACCGACATAGGAGAACACTTCACCACTCACCACCGACATAAGAGGACACTTCACCACTGACCACCAAGGTATGGAGGCACTTCTCCTTTGACCACCAATGTAGGGAACACACTATTTTCACCAATTTTGTGGATTCGTTTAATTCACTTTTTCACCCCTTGTCTTTTTTCTGTACAATTTGCGACCTCCTGGCATCCCTCCTACACAGAGAAGGCATCGCTCCCCCAATTTAGGACTGGTGATGAAAGTGACAGGTGCTGTTCCTTTAAGAGCTCGGTGCATAGCTGTGTATACAATCACATGACGCAACTTTCAGCTTCAGCGTGCCTGTAAGTTGTGTACGAGAGCCCAGGCAGTGTGTGTGTGTCTATGTACATGGAAGCAATGCACACACCCTGCACACATCTGACACCCATTCACTGACAACCAGAGATTAGGCTGGAGCCGCCTGCCCTGTAGGGTCACACATACCCACTCTGCAGCCAGCCGCAGCTCCCAGGAAGGACAGTGCGCACCAGAGCCTCCTACTGCTCCCAAACAGCATCATCCTGAAGGGGCTGGCTGCACGCTGCAACCGGGGAGGGATCTGCACTGACAGCCCTCTACACCTGCTGACAGCCAGCCAATCGGCGTTCACCGCGGGACTTCCGCCAGCCAGGAAACGCTGCCAACCACAGACACGCAGGGGACGTCCGTGACGCGCACAAAGCATTAACCAATCAACAGGCAGCTCCCTCACTCGACAGCCAATCAGTCACTGCACCCTTAGTAGCCATCTTTGACAAGGGAAAATACGCATTTGAATTGCCCTGAAATTTTTAATACGCAGTCTAACAAATCTTCTTCATTCCATAAAATAGTTGGCATTTAGTGCAGCTTTTAAGGTAAAAGATCAACTACATGGGAGAACGAATTGCCCTTATTAAAAATGGCGGAGATGTTAGTCAGTCGGTGATACGTGACGCTACGGAGGTTGGGTTGGAATAGCCAACCAGCTTCCAGGTGAGTGGTTCCGCTCTCCAATCAGAGCGCTCCCACCTTGATCTGTCAAGCGGCCAACTTTCCCTGCACTATATAACCCCAGAGAAGGGGTCTGAAGTCCGCAGCAGACGTCACGGTGGCCGAACGAAGATTTGCCTGGCCTCTTCTGAACGGTATTTTAGTCTATAGCCTGGGGTGGTGGTAGGGTTAGGTGTGACGTCACGTGACAGGTGGTGACTCAGACACAAGAGGATGGGGCGTGCAGCACAGAGGTGCCCTGTGAAGTCCGGGGGGTGGGATGTTCAAAGCTGGCAACTCACATTGCAATCTGATGGTACAATATCTGTGCAATCTTATTTAGATCTACCAAAAAGTATGCAATCATTATATTTCTGTCTGTGACCCCACGGGGGAGATTTTTCTTCACTTCCTGTTCCAGGCCAAGAAATGAAGTGATCATTTTCCACCTGGGAAAGAGCAAATAACAATATGGGCTCTTGTACATAGCTGCTTGTGGCTGTACAAAGTAAATTCCAGAGTACTTTCTATCTGTGTGGAAGCAGTGGTCTCTCTTTAGAGATCCAACCTGCCCCATGGTGAGGCGGACCTATAGCTCCCCAATCAGCAAAGCTCATCCTCTCTGCTGATTGGAAAGCTCTGAGTCTAAATCGGCAGGGGGAGTGTCAAACCTCTGCAGAGAGACCACTGTTTCCATGCAGAGAGCAAGGGCCCTTCTCTGCAGCATTCTGGCAGGGGACAGGCTTCTCTATTCAATCTGTGGCTGCTTTCTGAATAAAACAAACTGGAAGACTTTCTACAGGTTTACTTTTAATGCTCCCAGGATGTATTTGGCTGATTGGGCATTCAAGGGAGACTCCACCTTTAAAAATAAATAAATAATAATGATTAGAACAAATTTGCATTTATTATAATTTTTTTTTTGCATTGGAGCCAGTAAAGCATTGCAGCCGTGATCAGTGGATCAAGGGTGCTATGGTCTGGCTCAGTGACGTCACAAGGGTGGTGTGGGGGGGTGCAGCCCACACCCGGGTGACACCAAAATGACTGACGGTCTTTTTGGTGTCACCCCCTTCCCTCTCTGAAAAGTCTGGCACTTGGTCAAGGACCGAGAAGCTCAGGAGAGAGGAGGGACCTGGCGGCATACCTTATCCCGCTGGGTGACGTCCCCTCTTTTCTCTGCCGGCGTCCATCACCAAGATGGCTGCTGGCAGTTAACAGCGGTACTGCGTGTGATGTCACTGCGGGGTGTCACCTGGTACCTGCACCAGGTGTCACCCCCCTCGGGGTGCCTCTGGTCCGGCTCCTCCCTTCCATGCCTTTACCAAGGGTTAACCCGAACCCTAACATTGCACTGCTGGGGGTCTAATTATTATTATTATTACATAGTATTTATATAGCGCCAACAGTGTGCGCAGCGCTTTACAATGTAAGGAAGACATTACAATACAATTCAAGACAAGATGGTAAGAAGGGCCCTGCCCGTGAGGGCTTACAATCTGAAAGAATCTAATCAATAAATCACGTGTCTCATTTTCCAGGGATCGGGGAGCCCCGAGGTGGATGGACCATGAAGGTGAAGGTCATCTCCGTCCTGGACGACAACTACATGTATCTGATTATAGAAGAGCGCACAAAGGACGCTATTGCAGTTGACGCATCTGTTTCTAAAAAGGTAACTTGAGGCTTTTCTTGGCTTCCAGCAGGTTTTGCATTTCATTACCACAGTCTATTGGAATGGAAAACTTGCTTGAAGCAAGTCAGAAGAAAGGCAACTGCAGGTAAAAAAACACCTGTCATTGAATTCTGAAGGATCTCAGAAGCACCTCAGAGTGCGCAAAGACGAAACCTCATTGAACAAAAAAAGTGTGCATGAAATACAAAAATGTGCTCTAGGGTGTGTCAACTGGTACATCTCCCGAAGAGATAGGGCCCTTCCCTGACCCTCCCAGGATGCAAGGTTCCCGACGGGTAAGGCACGTGTGTCCACCTGGCCTGAAACCAGGCAGACTCATTCCTCATGGTCCGCTGAAGGTTGGGGGCTCAACTAGGTTGGGGGCTCTCCTGAAAAGAGACTCCCAAGTTCAGGGAGGGAAGGAACCTGATGGTCACACATCCTCCCCCTAGACTTCAGAGTGGGCCCAAAGACCCGCACCCTCTGTCCTGTGGAGTGGAAAACACGCATGAAAACTGCACAGACAAGTGGATACAAATTAAAATAAGTGCCAATGTGCAAGACAATGGCCAGGCCTTGCAGCTTAGTATAACATTTCCCTGGAGCCTGAAGCCTGTGACACACTCCATGCAAAGCCGTGCAGAGCGAAGCGAAGCTGTCCAGTATGTAGCTTTGCATGCAGTATGTGAGCTGAGTGCAGGCACATGATTGACTGCACCTTCAGCCAATTGGCTCGTGCGTAACAACCGGCCAGACGTCTCATGCTGACGCGTGGGTTTATACGTGCAAGCTCAGCTACGCGAGCTCTCGCAAGCTGACGTGCCGGGTAGAAAATTTAATGACGCACTGCTCCTGAAGGCAACGCGCCACTGCGCTGCTTCGCGTGCAGTGTGCCACAGCCTTTAGCCAAAAGTCCTAGCCCAAGAGGCAAGGTGCGGAAAAACGCTGTTGGGTCCGAAACTCAGAGTGCTACTCGGGCTCCCCCAGGGCGTCACTCCCAGGGGGGCGCTTGACATCATAGGCTCCCTGGCTTCCCAGCCAATGACCAGACCAGGTAGTCCCATTCAAATCAGGAGGAATCCTGGACACAAGGGAAGTACTCCTGACACCCCCACCCCCCACTCTTGCGTGAGTGGATGCTACTTTTGGTTTCCTTCTCACGACCAGAACCCTTTGGGACCCCCATCATCTCAGGCAGGATACTCTGCAGCCAGCCATTCCTATTACAAGACCAGAACAGCAGCACGTTTCCCCTGAACACTGATGAGAACAGATATTACACTTGATCTTAGCCAACACCTCAAACTGATGTCACTGACACAAGCGAAAAGCCCAACAACACAGATCCTAACAAATCTAAAAGCTAGTGTGGTTTTTGGTTTTATTCTCTCTTGTAAACAACCGGACACGTGAGGTGGGTTGAAAGGAACCAACTGATCCCCTACTTAAAGGGACAAAGTCAAAAATCTTTTTCCCTCCCCCGAATGTTAATTAAAGCACTTACCTTTTAAATGATGTTTCTTAATCCGACCTTCTTGTTTCCTGTCCTTTTCATCTCTCCCTCCAGCGCTGCGGCGGGTCTCCGATCCAGCACTGACTCCTCTGTCCTTGCTGGCACTTCCTGTCCCACGGTGTCTGCATGCGGGTGCACGCGTCCATAAACTTACCTTGTGTCTCTCCTCGTGTCCCGGCTAAAAATGTGAACTAGGCATGCTCCCGCCCCAAGATGCTTTGCGGCCGCCCGAGAATTTTCACATTTTCGGATGGGAGCACGCGGTCGAAGTATTAACCCTTTTCAAAGCGTTTTTTTTTTTTTACACTTTTTGCATATATCTACTGCTTGCTAGCCAAATACCGGAGGGTTTAATAACCCTTTAATAAGTAAGAAACACAGTAGAAGCTTCTTAAAAAATGTATTTGTAGATCTCAGTTCCATCACAGATCCAAGAAATGAGAGGGTTTGTTCCTCATTTTAGGATAGTGGGTGGAGCCGTTCAGATCATTCCTTTTATGCTCCTTTGCCACCAACTACACATCTAGAACTTCTGGTGTATAGTACAGATGCAGCCGAATATTCTGGGCACAAGTGGACCAAAACTTCCAAACCTGCTGCTGTTGTAGTAAACCATAGTGACAAATATGATGTATTAGGAAATTGTACTTGTAGCATTCCCCTTCTTGTGTTGCCTCCTTCTTGTTGGTAGAGTTACTGGTTATATAAATTTTAAGCTGACCATACACTACATGAATTTAAAGAAGAACTTCAGGCAAATAAAAAATGACTACCCCACACTGTAAGGGTTAACTGCTCATTTTGTCTAGGGGGCTCACAGTTGTTTTACTTCCCTGATCCTGGCTCCTGCAGACTTTAGCACTCGCCTCTCTCCCCTCTTCTCTGGCTGTGAAATATCCCTCGGCGTCCTCATGTTTAATGGGCCTGCATTAAGGTCCCCACACACCTTGCGATAATCGTACGATAATGGCGGGAAAATGTAAGGTCGCACGACTTTAAACTTACGAACCCGCCGAGCATCGTACGAGCCCGTTCGGCATTGCGGTCATCGGAAGCCCGCCCCTCGGGGGGTGCGGCTTGCGATCATCGCAAGTACGATCTGCCTGTCCAAGATGGGCAGATCGTACGTTTTTTTTTTTAAGTACCTTACAACCATCGCAAGACAGAAGTCTTGCGATGGTTGTAAGGTGTGTGCCCAGCATAAGACGCGTTAGCAATTCTGAGAGCGTCTGAGTGCAGAGGAGAGGAAGCTGCCGGAGCTGGTCTAGCAACTCAGAGGGAGCCAGGATCAGGTAAGTAATTATGCTTTATAAAGCAAAATGAGCACTTAACCCTTTTAGAGCAGGAGATGCCTCACTGCAAGGGTAGTTTTTTTTTTTTTTTTTTAGCCAAGAGTTCTTCTTTAAGCTGAATCAGTC